ATACCAGTGATCAGGAACTGACAGCCTGGGGCCGAATCCACCTCGCTAACAGATGAAGCAGATCTGCACGGGTTTCAATTCAACTCATACAGACCGGTCAAAGTGTCTTTGTCATGTCCATACAGCTCCTTTAAGATAAGAAAAGCAGTCAGGGAACATGGGAAATTAAACCTAAACTCCATCCGTCTCTCAATCCACGACTCCTGTCTGAATCATCCATCTTTACCTGCTCCATTTTCAGCTTGGAATTACCAAGTATTACCAAGCTGCAAAAACGCCATCCAGCCAACATTTAGTTTTCAATAAACTTCATCATTCTTTTGTGAAAATCTCATGACACAGTGGTAAAAGTTTTTCAGATCATGGAGAACAACAACAGTGTGGAGTAGAGATGCTCATACAGACCATTAAAGACAGTATAGTGGAGGGGGGTGGGGGGGGGACAAGAGGTTTTTATGTCTGTTATCAAAACCTGTGTCTTCAAGTCCATTCATTCAAGTTACCAGGAGAGAAAAACCTTGAAAGTGCATTAGGAAGTGTAGTGCTGTTTTTTTTAACCAGAATTAAATAGGACAGTGATTTGGAGATGTAATTAATCATCATTAGTCCTTGACGTGCCAGTAAAAGCCCTTGTCTGTTGCTGTTGCTAATTTGCTACTGTCATTACACGTTTGTCTTCAGTACAGGTAAACATTCTACTGGTTGTAGAGGTACTTTTACCACGCTGAAAACATGTTCAGTTGTGGTTAGTATATGATGAAGACGCATGTAAGTGGACCACAGCATCAGTCAACAAATGATGGCGATGGTTAGTGGGCGTCGCCCCACGTACAGTACACTCCAGCTCTTCTCCATTACTGGTGATCGAAGTGCAAAATACAAAGTGTTCGTTTTCTTTTACAAGAATATAGAAACCATTTGACTGAATATAGGAGCAGGGCTGAGTGGCATACGAAGGGTAAAATGGAATTCACCAAGTTGTGAAAATTATGGTAGCTTTTAGTGAGCGACAACGTAGGCCAGGGTGTTTGAACCTTGGGGTCGCTACCCCACATAGGGTCACCTATTCGCCAATTGGAATTAGGTCGCTTAAAATGTCTAGTAATTGATAACATAAATTACTTATGAAATATTTTTTCAACAAATTATTATTATTTTAAAAATGATACAATAACTAAATTGTGATGTCAAAATGAGGTCACAGGTCAAAAAAAGGTTGGGAACCCCTGATGTAGACTAGGAAGATTTCTGTGGTCAACCTACCCTGGAACCACCATTGTAATCACTATTTACATTAGGAAGCTGCTGAACACCCACAGGGCAGAAATATTGAATTCTAACTCCAAGGCTAATAACGGTGGCTCATTCAATCTGACTGAACGTGACATGAACACCGACACTGAAACCAGGAGGTGCTGAGTACTGCACTGTTTGTGGGTCATCATTTTGTTTATGCTTTTGTTTGTTTGTTTTTGTATATCTGTTATGAATAAGCCTTTATGCTAATGTAAGGCAGCACAGACACACACTGGTGCTCACACCTCTCCCTTTACTTCAAGTCATCCTATTATTGATTTGTATTAGCTCTCCAGAGCTGGGCTAGAGCCTGTCCTCGGCCAAATTAGAATTCTCCACAAGATAAATTAATGACAGCCAGCAGTAAAAGGAACTTTTAAAGACACGTCAACACCAATGTGTCTGTATTCCATCTTCACTACAACAGTGTTGCAGTTCCACACCATGCATTGCCTCGCTGCACCTTCCATATCCATAATTTGTCGAATGACCACTAATATATTTTTTTCGAACGATGTCCAACAGACATTTTTACTGCAGTGTTTTCATGGGAGCTGCATTTTAAACAGACTTGCCTGATGTCGCCGTGTTAACTACCGTCAGCGATGACACCCGCCTCTGTCGTCTTCTCCAGGATTTAGCGGTGCCGTCGGCCCAGCAGGGCACCAGTCATTTCCTTGTCATGGCACTGAAATGAAAAGGCAATGTGTTTATTTCCATATCTGCGTTTTGTCTGACAGAAAAAAAAGATTTTCACACAAGTGCAGGGGACCTTGTGTGTATACATAATTAGAACAGAGGGCGACGGCTGAAATGTTCATCAAGGTCAAAACTTAGTGGGAGGTTTGGGCAAAATGTCCTTTTTAGTGTTTCTGTCCTTAATCTTTGAATACTCACATATAAAGAATGCCTTTTCTTTTTTGTTTTTAAAGTTTGCGTACAAAATTTAAGTAAAAATTACTACATTATTCCACTTTTCCATTATATATTTTAACTTTAATGGTAGTGGAGTTGACACTTGACTTGTAGTTTCAATAAAGTGGGTTGATACTTATTATCCAAGTTACTCTGCAGCTGATTTTGTGCTTTATTTATTTAAGACTCCAACACAAAGATGTAGACCAGGCAGGAACAATGACCTAATGACAGCAAGCATTCACCATAATTGGGTTAAAGGAGATAAGATTAAGAAACTCATTCTTTTAGTGTGTAACCATCCATATACTGCAGGGTTTTGTCCAGAAGGACTCGCAACCAGCATCATGTTATTCTACACTTCATATATGTAGTCTAACCTGTGTGTGGAAGACTAATATCCCTCCCTATGTAAAAATATTCCACTTGTGGTCAAGGACCTTAAATTTCATTTGCCCTTGAATGTAATGTCCTCATCACTTTTGACACAGGATGACCTTTGACTTGAAGAATATACAGTAAATTATTTTCTGGCTTGGAAAGGAAATGAACGGCAGGTTTGCTCATGTGAGCTGTCTCATATTCAACACACAGTAGCCAGCTCTTTAAAAAAAGTGTTTTGACAATGTAGTCATAAAGGTCTAGTCATGGAGCAGGACCAGAACCTTCTTTTTTTTTCTACTTTCTTCCTTTGCATTTGCAGCCATTCTTTTAAGCCTTTTTCACTCTGGAAGAGCAGAACATTGTGATCCTGGTGTTTTAGCTTTGACAG